TTTAAAAGGTCAATATTCAACACAGGTGCAGTGCAAAAACGGTTTCAGTGTTGCTCAAGTAGAGTCTACTGCTGCTTTTTCTGGTATCCTCTACCAAGAAAGAATGGAAACAAAAAAACTGCTGCTAATTTCACTGTTTTACTTTCATGTTATTCTTATATGAGCAGAGACTTCCTGTTTCACTGAAGCCCCTTCTTCTTTAGGTAGCTGTATAATTCAAAGGGGGGTGCATATATTAATCTGCAGATACGTAGGTAGGTGAGGGAAGAGATGCTGGCTCCGGGACGCATAGACCCTGATTAGATGTTTATCACCTGAAAGCGTCACAGATGATGTGAACGTACCAGTAGCAGCTGGCAGCAGCAGACACAGGAACAGCAATCGCATCATCTTCAAATGCTGCTGGGGGGAGAAGGAAACCAAGTTAAAAATATCTGCTATTAATATTCTGCCATTGATGTGTGAAAAATCTTGGTGTTTTGGTTCAGAGATAGGGTGTGATGATAAGTAGGGGTGCTGTCTATTATTGGGGCTTGTCTGGCGCTTTTTGAGTTTCAGGATCACACATTGCTAGTCAGTGGAAAACTAAGAATTCCAAGCCAACAAAGTTGAAAACTGTGCATGCAAATGTAGATTGTAATCTGAGGTGGGTGTTGGTAAAAGGGTCAGTGGAAGACAACCTTATTTCCCATAGTGCTCAGCAGAAACTAGTGTTCTGAGAAGTCTGTCACAGTCAGCTTGCCGCAAGTGTCTATTCGACATTTTCCCTTCCCTTTGCAAAAGCCCTGCTGCTATGCCAGGTGTGAAGCATCAAAAAGTGTCTGATGACTTCCACTGGCAAAACAAAAAGGGATCAAATTAATCATATCAATTGGTTTTGTCCATTGTTTCCTGCCTAACCATATTTTTCTTGTTCTATTAAAGAAAAATAACTATTCTTGAACTGTTTAAGAAAAGGTGCGTTTAAACACTGACATATCTTTCATTTTGATCCTATCACAAGAATTTATTGATAATCTTTGTGTGCCCTTGTTGTAAATGAGTAATCTCATTCTACTTCCTCGTGGCAAAAGTCCCAAAAACAAACCCAACCTCTGCACTTCACATCACCACCAAACTAATGTGAAACACAGATGTCCCTTGCCTGCTAAACAAAGTGCCAGCTGTATCCAACACAATAAAGTATGAATGGTGGTATTTTTAAGTGGGAAAGCATGGGAATGACCTCTTCTCCGGTCCAGGTCCCGGATGAAACCTCTTTGGTCAGATTTAGCCACTGAGGCAGGCATGGGATCAGGAACCAGTTGCTGTATTGCCCCATGTGCCAAAAGTTATACTGTAAGTGCCTCTTCATTGTTCGCCATGCCTATTGTGTTCATGTTTCCTCTGTAACAAATGACTACGTAGAAAGAACCTAGGTGACCTGCATTGTTGAGATGCAGATTATAAAACTAAGGAACAGCAGCAAGGTGCTTCACACCCACAGTACACCTTCAAACAGAGGTAGAAAATGAAGGTTTACTGCTCATAAGTACTTTTAGGAAGTGGATAACATTCTCTAAATGTCAAGTAGGTTCCATTACAGTATGGTAAACAGAGGTGAAAGGGAGGTATAGGCATAAAGAGAGGAGACAGAAGGTCATAAGCATCAGCTCTTCTTTAAAAAAAAAAGTTTTTGACATTTTAAGAAACGACCTTTGGTATCAAGAATGACTCCAAAAGATATCATCCATAAATGCTGCTATAATATCCCAAAACTATTTCCTGCGAGACAAATGTCCACCCTGTTGGGCCACATTGAAATGTGTGCAATCCAGTCCACAACAAGATTATCTTCATGCTAAATTAGCAGCACAGCATTAAGAACCATTTCTGTTGATTATATTGGAAAAAGATGTTAATCACACAACTGAGGCTGATTGGAGAGGGAGTGTAGTGTGGGCTGTTGGCCTCTTGAATAGTTGCAGTAAATCTCCAAACACAAACAACCTTAGAAGCTGCAAATAAAATCCCCTTCTGTATCCAATTTGCTTTTCAAAGTCGCTTTGGGTGAAATAATAAGCCGATCCAATTTGGAAATATTTATCAACCCAGTCTGCTGCCTCTGTATCAAAACCAGTCCTGACGCCTGTATTATTTTTCAAATTGGGTAATATATTCTTGTACATTTGAATGCCAATTGAATTTACTCTTTAATATCAGACCCAATTTGCGACATATAAAAATAACCAGTGGCTTGCTTATAAAGCAGACATGCTGGCTGCCTTCTGGCATGAGATGCAAAGATCACAGAGGAGGGTATAAGTAGAAAATCTACAAATCATCACATAACACTGGAGTGTGGTGCTGCAATAAAGGCATACACTGTGCTGTAGCTGCAGGGCGAACGTGTCTTGTTTTTGTTCCATCATCCCAAATGTAGTTTTCCACTAACAGGATTAACTCTGAACCTCATACCTGTCTGTCCAGGCCAGCCCAAGATACACTTAAATCTTGTTCACCAGGCTTAATTTTGATTGATGAACAATTTCCACTGCTTGCAACTCACCCAATGCAATCTAGACCAAAAACACACCACACACACACACACACACACACACACACACACACACACACACACACACACACACACACACACACACACACACACACACACACACACACACACACACACACACACACACACACACACACACACACACACACACACACACAAAAAGAGAGAGATTCCTTGAACAGAACTACATGTAGAGATGCACAATATCTCTTTCTTATCTGCCCGCACTGATAACAATCCCCTGCTCAACCACTGTGCACAACTTTGACACCAGCGATAATAACAACTAAAGTGCAAAGATATTAGAATTACTCTGGCCTGAAGAGTTCAGAGTAAAACATTTATAAGTAAAAACAAATGAGAGAAGAGATGACAGCAAATAAAAACTTTGATTATTGTGAAGATGTGTCACAGTTAAAACCAACCTTCTGCATAAAGAATGAGCAAGGGAATGACAAGGGAAAATACTGAGCAAGAGAGGAAAAATTCCCCCAGATCATTTCTTAGACATTGCCATTCAATTTTACAGAAGTGGTAGCTTCAGTGAGGAGAGAAAACATTCTTATTGAAATGTTTACTTAACTCTGGCATCTCTACAGGAGCAGTCTTTACTTTTTTCTCCCCCTTTAACATTAACATAACACTGCTCTGCCACTCGAGCATATAAACGTAACAAAGAAACTACAGTTAAAATGAAAATTAAAACAAAACCCACACTACCTTAGTTGGTGCCAAGCAAAACAGGGAAACATCCAGCATCAAGATACAGTGATTCTGAGAGGGGGATCAGTTATTTCCAATGCAAATGTAGTGTGGATGACTTGTTGAGCATCAGGCCAATAAGGCAGACAGTAAAAAATAAATAAAAGGAGGATATGAGAGTGTGGCTCCATATGACACATGTCAGAGACTCATATCCTGTATTTGCCTGCCTCTCTCTCTCTCTCTCTCTCACACACACACACACACACACACACAAGAATGACCAAATATGTTTCTTCAGGGTGACTTAAACAGCAACAAACAGACTCAGGACAAACAGGACTCAGGCACGTACACCTTGCGGTTTCCTTTTTTATCAGATGGAGACAAAGCCGTTCTTCTCTGTTTTGTTAACAACATTATCACAAGACCTATCCCAGTCTCATAGAGGGGGTGTGCGGTTTAATCTGTACAACATGCAACCTCATTACTCCTAGAGACACTGAAGTGCAGAAAGTAAAAAAGTAAAATAAAATAAAAAGCTAAGATGAGATAAGGTGCCCCCCCCCCCTCCCTGCTTCACCTCTGACATAGCCAGGGCAAGCAGTTTGAATTAAAAACAGCACTTTGTTATTCATTTGCAGCCTAATATGTAGGTCGAAAAGGCACACTGAATAGTCTGGTAATCTTACACACACACACAAGCAGGAAGTGAGATAAGGTTTGCCGCAGTAAGCCAAGTCATGATATATTTTTTTTTAAAAACACCCACACGTTCTGTAACGTGCTTCCTGAAGGAAGGAGTCTGCACATTTGAATGGATGAAATCAAGTGATTGTCACATTGACTCACTGTATAAAAAAAAAAACACTGCGGTTGTTTAAGGGTGAAAACTTCCTCCATGAGTTACACTAGAAGAGGGATTAAAAAAAAACAACTCGTACTTGGTGAGGAAGCCAGAGAGGCTGAGAAAATGAAATATGGAGGGAAAAGCACTTCAGGCTGATGCTCATATGGTATAGTTTGAGTCTTTAAATATACAAAAGCAAAGTATTGGTAGCACTGAACTGACCATTACTACTGTCACAACATTTAGGCTACTCTGTGAGTGAATATTGAATAATTTCCTACCCTTGAGAGTCTTTCTTCGTGAATGTCAGCCGACGAGTTGAGTCTTCTGCAGTGCCGACAAGTTAACAGGAAAATAAGTTTGTTGCTGTGTGAGCTGAATTTAGGGCAATTTTATTCTTACCAATACTACCAGGGGATTCACAGTCACGTATTTGCCTGAGACTTCGGAAACTACCCCTGTGCGTCTGCTAAGAAGTGAAGTGACAGCAGTTTCCTGAAAACTAGGTTCATGCGCATCTTAGAACAACTATGAAAATGAATAACAATAATGTAAAGCAGCAGCCTAGGCAACGCTTTACCGTAAGAAAAAAATAAATAGGAGCCTAATTATTGGAGAATATTCAATTTGAAAAGGACCAGAAGTTGGCAATTAATAGTATTTCAATAATACATTTTACAAGTTAAATGCCCCGCTAGAAGGTATATAGCCTATTCATTACTGATACCTATCATCAGGCAGTTTCAGAAAATGAGTCGAGAAGGGATGACGTCAAAAGGTAGCCGGCTGTTTGACATGACAGTTAGCGCTTAATCAGACACAGGTGTAATAAAAGACCACCTTTACCAGCTACCAGTCGTCGCTGTTCATTTGCTGCTATTTGATGGTTTCCGGTTTCCCAGGCATGCAAATACAAAAAGTTTTAATTGTTGGGTGAATAGACTCAAAATAGGCTTTTCTTTTTGCAACGTAGTCATGCAGCATGTACTGCTGCTGCAGGTGTGCCTCTTGATTCTTGGTAAGTGGCATTGTCTTTTGACATTTTTTTTTTTTTTACGAGTTTAAATTAGATTCAAAGGTCATTATTTGCACAAACCTTACTGGTGTGTCAGCCAGTCTCAAATCTGGAACACATTTGGATTAGCATGAGGTTATTCCTTTATCACCTGCAGCACTCAAGTCTCAACAGTTCTGCTTTCTACTTTAAGAAGTTCTATTTGTCTACTTTTGAGTGATGAATGGGGTGTGGTGGCTGTGTGTCAGACCCTAGAACAACATGAGATACTTATTTGTGTACTGTTGAAGAGAATTATGGGGTTAAGAAATCACGATTTCTGTGTTGTTGTTTTTTCCCACATTAGGATGTGTTTAGAAGGTATCATTGTATTTTAAAAATAAGCAGTTCATACTACATAAACCATCAATGCTTTAGCCATGAGTTTAAAAAAAAAAAAAAAAATTACTTTCCTCTCCAGACACACCAGTCATGTTAGGCCTACATATTTGGTTTATCAAATAAAATAAATGGTCTCTTTCATATTAACGTTTGCTATGCTGTCAAAAATAAATAGGCTGCATATGGTGTAACCACAGAGTTGATCTACATGAGAACAAAATGCATTATTCAGTAACCTCTTAATCATTTAGGAAATTGTCTGAAAGCTGCACTTACATTTCAAAGAGCTGTTGTTGAGAGTTGTTTCTGTACACTGCTGCTAAGTCGTTGCTCCCACGCCAGAGATCCTTGTTATCTTGGAAACTGCCAGCGTAAGGGTGCACAGTTAACACAGGTGAACTCAGACTGGAACCAGGAACTCTGTTCTTCATTGGCTGCTGAGCTTGTTGAAATATGACACCACCAATCATATCTGTTACACAAGAGTACTTCTTGAGCACACTGAGGCATTATCCCAGTACTCGCAGTAGAAAGATGTAATCACAACAGTGCAGGTGTGTTGTTTTTCATGTTGGCAGAGAAGTTGATATGTATTTTATAAATCAAGCTATTGTTCACACCCAATGTGTTTTTCTGCACTTATCATGTGGGAGCCTCATAAAATATTTAACTCAACTTTACATTCTCCTCTGTAGGCCTGGCTTGGGCCACGCCGGGTACAAAGTTCCTGATGATGTTTCCTCCTCATTATGGCCCAACATTAAATCTCACCCATCAAGTGACCGTCACAGCCACTGGATATTGGACCTCAGTCACTGTACAGGTTCTGGAAAGCAGCTTCATGCAACAAATCTTGCTCTCTGCAAGACAATCAAAGACTATTCACCTCCTGCCACCTGTGGGAATGATCAGCGATCACTCCTCCCACCTCCTCAGTGTGACGTCTGCATGGCCAGTAACAGTCATTGCCTCATTCTGTACCCCCTCTGGATGTGACCACAGTCTTCTTCATGATGTGTATTCCTGGGGGACACACTACTACCCCATCACTCCTCACTTCCCCAATGAGAATGCTGTTAGCCAAATGGTGATCACAAGCTCAGACCATGAGACATCAGTTGAGATCTTCCTCTCGGGGGAAGTGCTCTTCAAAAGCAATGTGCACCCCAGAGGAAGTGTCCTAAAGTTGCATTTAGGTGCACTGCAGAGTGTTTACATCCAGAGTAACTCCAGCCTCTCTGGCTCAGAGTTAAACTCCCAGAAAGCTGTAGGTGTTGTGGTTGGTTTTACCTGCTTTAAAGACACATTGGGGCATTGCCTGTATGGCTTTGCTGAACTGAAACCTGTGTCTCACTGGAGTTTTGATTACATTGTGCCACCTTTGCTAAACACAGGAATGAACTACAGTCTCCTGTTGGCAATGGCAGCTTTCAACTCTCCACTTGATGTCACCACCAGCACCAGGCAAACCAACCTGTATCTTGTTGGTGGTGATATGACGGTCATTCCAGTTGATACATCAGATAAAATCCAGATTACGAGTGACAGCCCTCTTCAGCTTGTTTACTTCAGACATTACATCGAACAGCGTCCTTCAACTCTAACAGTCCTGTCATCTGTTGATGATATCTGCTGGACTGATCATATGTTTGATTCTGGTGATATCAGTGAGCTGCAAGATAGCAGTTCCCACACACGACATTTAAAGTCTGGGTTTAAAGTTTCCCACAAGCCAAACTTTAATCAGCTTCCTGAAAATGCAGAGTCCAGTTCTCTTCACACGGACACAGATGTGGGACACTATCTGAGTATCATGGACAGACAGCTTTACCCAGCCGCGTGTGAGACTGGTATGTTTTCAGGCTTTATTATTACATTACATGTTGAGATTTATAATTTGGTGTCTGTATTTGTGGAATTCAAACTTTGAGAATCAATGTCCAGCTATAAGACAAGTTGATGTTTAGAATAACTTGCAAAAACACGTGTGTGTGTGTGTGTGTGTGTGTGTATGTATATAAAGTCTTATAGAGAAACTGCACCCACAACTCAAGACCTGGTACTGTCTTCTTAGGCATCAAGCAGTGAGTGTCATTTATAGATTTTCTTTAAATGTCTCACAAATTGAGTCCTTAAACCACAGATTTTCCTTCACTACATCTGTTAGGTGGGGGTTGTTTCTGTTTGTATAAATCCAATGAAGAAATCGTGAAACAGACTGGAGATTATAACACCATTTAATTGGCCGAGGTCAGACAACTTCATCAAACAAGCATGCTTCCAAATCACTTGACTGACAAAGTAACAGTGTTCACAGTGCTGCTTATATTCTGTCAAAAAGGTGCAACCCACAAATTCCTTTCTATTTGGGTGCATCACCATAAACAATGAAGATGACATGACACTGATTTGTATACGTATCAGATGTAGACTCTGTCTAGCAAACAGTTGCTGACAACATATAGTTGGCTCCTCTCCATATATAGATCTGCTACTACTTAGGTGCTTCGCTCATAGAAGGTTACAGCTTCAGACACCTAAAGGTAGGAGTGTTGACACGTGGTAGACAGACTTGAATAATACATTTCACGAAGTTACCAAGATTAATGAATTTCATGAAAATTCGTACTAACAACATCATATAAGTATCTTAAGTAATATTTGTGTAGCATCATTATTAACAAATTGCAGTCTATCATCATCTTGTCGTTTGACCATGTTTGTGCAGTGCCCAGAGGTGTACAATGAGCCCTGAAGAGAGGCATATTTATTCCATCTGTATGCATACTAAACCTGCATGAGAGAATGTTTGGTTGTGCATTCATCTTTCAGCATTGTCTGTAAATTGTGAAACATTTGCATGTAAATGTGTACTAATTCTCTCTCTCGCCCTCTCAGCTGCTGCTCCTTGTGCAGAGGTGCACTGTGGTTCCAAACAGGAGTGCTTAATGGAAGATGGAAAACCAGTCTGTTCTTTGCAAACTAAAATATGCTCAGCATGGGAGGACTCTTATTATCGCACCTTTAATGGAAGAGATTTTGTCCTACAGGGAAACTGTAACTACACTTTAGTTCAGACCACCTGTCCAGGCTTAAATGCTTCTATTCCACTTCAGATTAATATAGCTCGAGCATATTTGAACAGTGCAACTGATTCCACCATCCACTCAGTGCAGATAAGAATCCAGGGCTTTAATATCTCCATGGTTAAAGGAGACAAAAATCATGTCAGGGTGAGTTGTTTTGAGCATATTTCGATTAAATTTGCACGTTATGTAGCTATCAAATTGCTCTTTGCAGACGGAGAATTTCATTGTCTGTTCTTGTTTTTAAACTCTCAGATTAACGGACAGAAGAGGAACCTGCCCCTTCTCCTGGGAGATGGATCCCTTTACTTTCATCCAAGTGGTTCCAGTGTTGTGTTAGAAACCACCTTTGGCCTGACTTTATATTATGACTGGAGACACCATGTCCAGGTTGAAGTTGGCACAGAGCTGTATGGGAAACTGTGTGGTTTGTGTGGAAATGCTAATCACACTGATGGGGACCAAACTGTGGATTTAACCCTCCCGTGGGTGGTGAACGGTGACACTGGCTCGTGCATTGAGGATTGTGGTGGTGATGGTGCCTCATGTCCAGTGTGCACTCAAAGCCGAACCAAATCTTTTCCTGGCACTAAAGGCAACTCGTTCATGACAGGGTGCACGCTGCTGCAGTGGATGGATGGACCTTTTGCCAGTTGTCACTCTTCTATTGATCCTGAGCCATTTGTTCGTAGTTGTGAGAACAACCTGTGTATCACTAATGCTGCCACTTCAGTGTGCAAGATCTATACAGACTATGCCACCACGTGCCAGAGGCTTGGGGCAAGGGTCCATAACTGGAGGACCATGGCAGAGTGCTGTGAGTTTTATCAAGACTTTTTGTATTTTAAATGAATATGTATTATTGAGCTCCCATTGGGAAAAAATTTACTTTTTTTTTCAGCACATCACATGTTGGATTGAGGAAAAATGTCATAAAAAGTAACTGACACTTAATGATATGAATTAAGATGGATTTAAAGAAAAGGTCAAATATTTATTTATACATGGTTAGCGCAATTAACTACACTTAAAATATTGGAAAGTAGTATTGCATAGTATCTAAACTTGCATGAGAATATCTGTGGTAGTGTTTTGTGTATAAATAAAAATGGTCATCTTGTTGACCAAAATAAATCAAATCTATAGATGATGAAATGTGAAACTGTTAGTTTCATATGAATGACACAACTGTTTTTTTTTTTGTTTTTTTTTATTTTTTTTAATAGCCATGGCATGTCCTCTGAACAGTCATTACGAGGTCTGTGGTTCTGCATGTCCTGCTACCTGTGCTGACCCAGAAACACATCGTAACTGTACCCTGCACTGTGTGGAATCATGCCAATGCAACAGAGGGTTTCTACTGAGTGGTGGTAAGTGTGTACCACATGGCGAGTGTGGTTGTCTTCACCAAGGCTCATACTATCTCCCCAAAGAGAAATTCTGGGTAGATGAACAGTGCCAGGAGGAATGTGTCTGCCAGCCGAACTCCAAAACCGTGACGTGTGCACAGTCTCAGTGCCGGGACGCCACAATGTGCGAAGTTCTGAATGGAGTCCTGGACTGTCACATGGACAGGCCTGGCTGCGTTCATGATGGTGTTTACCATGAAGTCTATGAAGACTTCTACCCTGATGAGTCCTGTCAGAGTCACTGTGTCTGTGTCGGCCACGACATCGTGCAGTGCACCAACAGATGTCCAAAGGGAACGGAATGTACAGTCAGGGATGGCCAAAGGGCATGTTATACATCGCAGCCTCCTCAGTGTACAGTCATGGGTGGCAGACACTTCAGGAGCTATGATGGCCATAATTTTGACTTTAACCCCGGGAGATGCGCTTATGTTCTGTCTCACGCTTGTGATGAGGAAAAGTCTGCTCTTGATGTTATTTTACAGCATGGAAATCTGTACCTAATGCTCTATAGTGTGACCATTTCCTTGGAGATGGAGCACTTGGGAAAAGTTAAGGTAAGCAGTTACTCACACAACAACATAAACACAATTTGTCACTGTGGGTCATTGTCATTTTTATTTTCCAGGTTGATGGTGTTTTGAAAGGTCTTCCTGTCCAGCTTGATCACATAGTGGTACTGCAGTCTGGCCTTCTGACTCATGTTGTTGTAGACACTGGGGTTGTCATCACTTACGGAGGGCCTAACCTGATACATGTAGTGATTCCTGCCTCCAATAGAAAAATGTGTGGCTTGTGTGGAAACATCTCTGCTCTTGATACAGATGACAAACACAGCCCTGATGGAAGCCCAGCCAGTGATGTTTCCATATTTGCATCATCCTGGATGCTCTCACCATCTGGAACAAACTGCTCTCAAGAGTGTGAGCTGTGTTCTGTGTGCAACTCTAGCATGGCAACCGAATTTGCCTCTGATAACTTCTGCGGCGTGCTGCTGGCTTCTGCAGGATCATTTAGTGGATGTCACTCCACTGTGGACCCAAAGCCATTCTTTAAGAACTGTGTGAGCGACTTATGTATGTCAAATGGGAATGAAGGAACCTTTTGCCGTAGTTTGAGTGAGTACACTTTTGCATGCCAGGAGGCTGGAGCTGAGGTTAAACCATGGAGGGGTGAGAGGTGCTGTGAGTATAAATCATGACACTCAAACATTTACATGTGTTGTTTTTATTTGGATTTCATGCACTGGCACATCACAATAGACATGCAAGTCTGCACAGAAGCTACTGTTGAACTTTTGGAACTCTGGCAGGCTCTATATGGGGGAAGTTTCCAGATTGATGTAATGTTTTTTTGGCCTTTGTACAGTATATGAATCTTTTTTTTTTTTTTTTTGTCTTTCCCCACAGCGCTCTTATGCCCTGAAAACTCTTACTACAATATATGTGTCAGTGCGTGCCCTCAGTCCTGTGTTACTTTATCCGATTTCCCCTGCCCCTGGGCCTGTTATGAAGGATGTCAATGTGACTCTGGGTACATGCAGAGTGGAAATGGCTGCATTAAAGCTGAGGAATGTGGCTGCTTCTTCCATGGGCAATATTATGAGGCGAGTTGCAACAGATGTTTTGCTCATACCTTTTCCTTTAAAATGGCAACAAATGTGTTTTTTGTTTTTGTTTTTTTCAATCTAGTGAAACTATCCTTTCAGTAAGTGATCGCACCAGAAAAAACAGCTTTGTTTGCCTTGTTGTAAACTTTTCTTTGTTAGGGTGTGTTTTTTAATGACAAATCTGCATGTGATCTCATTGCACATTCAGTTGTAAACAAGTTGCAACGGTTGAGCTAAGTGAGTGACATGCCCAAGTTAATCCATTCACTGGTCAGAACATGACTCATTAATATGTTGGCAAATTGAATATGCCTCACCTGTACTTGTGGCATGACTAATAAGAAAATCCTGTGCCTTTGTGTCTCTGGGTTGTTTGTGTGCATTGCCCAACTGTTCCCAAACACTGACTCACTTTCTGTCTGTAGATTGGAGAGAGATTGTGGGCTGAGGGATGCTCTGAGCACTGTCACTGCTCTGCCACCGCCACCATGTTCTGTGAGCCTGCCTCATGCCCTGAGGGAGAAAGCTGCACCCTTAACAATACTTGGGGCTGTGCAGGGAAAGGTAGGCTAAGCTGGTTCTGCTGCTTTAGGTGACACTTCTTCACAGGTTATCTGTTGATGTCAAATGAAAATTCATGTCAAACTGTATGTGTCACTTTGTATTTATGTGGTTGCAAAACAACCCTGACAGCAAAACATAGGTTTTTATTTTAGTGTCCTGTCATTTTACCTTAAATGCAGTTAAATCCTTATCCTGTTTTGAATAGTTGATTATGTACTTTAAAATCTCCTCTCTGCCTAGGGGTTTTAGCAGGATTTAGCTGCTTGTCAGTCATAAGTAATAAGCCTGTGATATAATGTGGCCTGTCACAAATAATTGAACCTGTTTCAAGATTTGATCCAATTCAAATTCACTACTACAGAAATGTACCTCTTAAATACGCATATCAGACTTCTTTATGCAGTATATTGATTTATTTCCTTTTGTTCCTAAATTTATTTGCAGCTGTCTTTTCATAAAGGGTGTTGTGTCTGCATGTTATTTGTGGCTTTGAGCTACATTGCCATTAATCTTATGCTTTTCTTTTTTTCAGCTAAAAGTGATGATAAAATATGTACAAATGAAGCTACTTGTGGAGGCCAGAGCCAACCTGTGCAAACTCAGTGTTTGGTACTGGGAGGTGCTCACTATTACACTTTTGATGGAAAGATGTTTGAATTTCAAGGAAACTGTACCTACACTCTGATGCAAGTTATGAATGACACCACTGGCAAGGATGCATTTTGGGTCGGCATACAAAAAGACAGAACCCCGAATGACGCCTCCTCTATTAAAGCTATTCATGTCAAAGTTGCTAAACACAGTGTTGTAATCTACAGAGGGGAAAGAGGCCATGTTTGGGTAAGTGTGCCACATCCTTATTATCCTTACCTTGTTGTCAGACTTGCTATAACATTCTTTATTAAAAAAGAGTTGATAATACTTAAGTTTTTTTTTTTGGTTTTTTTTGCTTTGCCATCTACAGTAGATACACTGAAACAACAAGAATTAAGCACAAAATAATGTGTTCATCCTCTCTACAGATCAATGGAGAGAAAAAACTATTACCCTTGAATCTACAGTTTGGATCCATAAACATTGCCCAGAGTGGTTTCTTTGTTGTTGTGGATACAAGTCTGGGCATTCAAGTTAAGTATGACTGCTCTCATTTTGCCACTATCTTCCTCCCTAATACCACCGCAGTCAATGGTTTGTGTGGGAATAATAATGGCATTGAAGAGGATGATCTCAGGAGCCCTCAGGGTAAGGCTGTGGATGCTACCACCTTTGGCTGGCACTGGAGAGTTCCTGATCAGGAAGCCTGGTGTACAGCAGACTGTGGAGATGCTTGTCCACGGTGCTCTGCTGAACAGCTGCAGGAGAAAAATGTAGCAAGGCAGTGGATCTCTTTCCATGAATACATTTGGTCCCCACAAAATCCATTCTACCTGTGCAGAGACATTGTTAACTACACCAAGATCTCCACAGCCGTGAGCATATTTGACCTGTGCTCTAGTGATGACCCTCAAAAGACCCTGTGCCACATCTTCGAGGCATATGCTGCAGCCTGCCAAAATGCCCATATTGAGGTCGGGGAGTGGAGGAAAAGCACCAACTGCTGTAAGCTTTGTTTTCTGTTACTGATAACTTGCTTTCTTGTTTGATTTTTACGATGTGTAGAACAACAATGCTTTAACAGAACTTTAAGAACCCTTAATCTTAATGAAAAGTTACTAACTACACATGTGCGTCACACCAAATCCCTCTAGATTATATCTGCTGCATCAAGAATGTTTGTGAAGTTTCCTTAACATGGTTACTGATTTTTCTCTCCTATCAGCGATATCATGCCCTCTGAATAGTCATTTTGAGTCCTGTGGCACAGCCTGCCCCGCCACCTGTGAAGCCCGTCTAAATTCAAACCTCTGCACCCTGGCCTGTGTAGAGACCTGCCAGTGTGACTCAGGATTCGTCCTGGATGGTGACATCTGTGTCCCGTTGTCCCAGTGTGGCTGCAATCACAATGGCTACCATTACCACAGAAACCAGACCTTTTGGGCTGATGAGAGATGCACTGAAAAATGTTTCTGTGACCCCCACACCCACCAGACACAGTGCCATGTGGATTCTTGTGGCCCTGATGAATCCTGCACTCTTGAAAATGGAGTCAGAAGCTGCATATTTCACCCGCAGCAGACATGCATTTACAGCGGTCATCACATACTGACCTTTGACCAGCATGACTATGATTTGCATGGCACCTGTCAGTACCAGGTACTTGGCATGTGTGGAAACAAGCAGGGTCTACATGCCGTTCAGGTTCATGTGCAGACAGATGGACACCTGGAGTCAGCACTTCATGTTCTGGTCAATGTGAGCGGTGTACTTGTAGCGCTAAACAGCAAAAACATGGAGAGCTTAGAGGTAAGTGCTTATGAATGTTTCAAAAGTGCATTTTTACCCTGTTATAGGTCATAAATGCTGTAATAATTAAACCACACTTCACAAAGTTTACTATGGCGAATGTGTTACTGTATGCTGTGTTTCAAATGTAATGTTGGCACCCCCTACAGGTTGATGGTGTCATAAAGAACATGCCCTATCACCTGGGCCCTACTGCACTGGCTTTCTCTCTGGGGATGCACACTTACATCTACACAGATGTGGGCTTTGAATTCAGCCTCAGCACAGAAGGCGTAGTTAACATTCAACTGTCCAGTAGATATGCTAATGCTGTGTGTGGCCTGTGTGGTAACTTCAACTCTGATCCTGCTGATGATCTCACAGCAAGTGGTGCAGAAGAGCATCTCAGTCATGAGCATTTTGGAAGAGCTTGGAGGAGTGGGCAGAATCCCTGGTGTGTGGACGACTGTCTGGGAGGAAGTTGTCCAAAATGTTCAACTGAGCGTCTGGCCCACTTCTCTGACCCAGAGGCTTGCGGGAAGATTCTGGAAGTTAATGGACCATTTAGACATTGTCATGGCAAAGTGAACCCCTCCATCTTTTACAAGCGCTGTGTCAGTGACCTGTGTCTTCACGGAGGTCTCCAGCCTGCACTGTGTCACTCCTTGGCAGTGTATACTTCTGTCTGCCTCTCCCACAGAGCTACAGTTTATGCCTGGAGGAGTCCTGGATTCTGCAGTGAGTGTTAATGTGCTCCCAGCCACTGTTGTGCTAGTGAATTACATTAATATCCTCTACAATTGTAACTGTGCTGTTTGGAGTTCAGCATCATTGCACACCAAATGAAATATGGAGTTTGGAGATGCTATTTCATGTTTAGATTGTTGATATCGATCATGTTACATTGGGAAAAGAGGCTAGAGTTTATTTGCATACAAATCAGATTAATGCCTGTAGGTGCTTGATGTAAAGTTTATCTACTGCAAGCTAAGATGTTAAGTATAAATTCTACAGTATGCTTTGACTCATTGGTATTGAGGCCACAACCTTTAAGGTGCTATTGTACCACTAGATGGTACTAATGCATCACTGGTCAACCTTAACCTTTACAGTATTGTCCTGTCTTCCTTTCCTAAATAACTGATGTCTCTCTGTTTCTCTACAGACTCTCCCTGTCTCTCCAGCAGCAGTTACAACATGAGTTCTGCCTCTGTTCACCTCTGCCTCGGCTTGCAGAATAACACGGTAGAGATGCCTCTGAACACGGGGGAGAATTGCCTCTGTGAAGCAGGTTTAGTTCACAGTGGCAGCCAGTGCGTCTCTGCAGAAAACTGTGGCTGCTTTCACCAGGGAGAATATCTCCAGGCAGGACAGGAGGTGTCAACATGCGAAAAAATCTGTCGATGCAATGCTGGGGGACGCATGACTTGTCGTAATACTTTTTGTGGGAAGGATGAGGAGTGTAAGCTTCTTCGGGGCGTTCAAGGTTGCTACCCCAAACCCAAACTGGCACGCTGCTCTGTTGATGGGTCCCAATACACCACGTTTGATGGACGGGCATTTGAATTTCATGGTTCATGTAACTACACCCTGGTGCAGACGTGTGCTCTCAAGAAGCTGGATGTGAAGCCGGTTTTCATAGCTGCGCTGCAAAACCATAGCAAGGGAAGGCAAATCTCCTTGCAAGTCAATAAAATGTATTTTGAGATATCAGCAGCTTTTCCTGGAAATATTCTGGTAATTTATGTAATGATTTCACAACCTTCAACATGATTTATTGTTCATTGTTTAGTCATTTTTCACAGTATACACAAACTGTACTGTATATTGTGTTTAAAAATGATTTATTTCATCTAGGTAAATGGAGTCAATGAGAACCTGCCGTTCTCCCAAAGCAATTTCACCGTGCACCAAAAAAATGGATGGATAACCATGAAGATACCTCAGTCAGTTGAACTGATTTCAGACCTTAAAAACCACATTCTGGTCAAGATCCCAAACATTTACCACCAGACAACTTGTGGCCTTTGTGGAAACTATAATGACAATCCCTCAGATGACCTGCAGCTGCCTGATGGATCTGTGATCTTTGAACCTGAGGTGTTTGGGCCCTCTTGGAAGCTACTTGATAATAAGACATCCTGCAGCAACGTATGTGACGGCACCTGTCAGCGCTGTCGGTCACCTATGCCAGAGTACACCTCTGACCTGTACTGCGGTCTTCTGACTCATCCCAAGGGACCCTTCTCTTCTTGTCAACATTTAGTGGGGCCACAGAAATTCTACTCGCTCTGCATGAAAAATCTCTGCATTTCACAGGGGCAACACTGGGCCCTGTGTGATGCACTGTGGGACTATGAGGCAGCCTGCAAAGAGGCTGGAGCGATGGTTGACCTCTGGACAAACACAACAAGCTGTGGTGAGTCTCTACCCGCTCAGTGAAATGTTTCAAACAATGAAGTGCTTTAAATGATTAGTAAGAGTGAGTAAGACAGACTTGTGCATTTTTATTTTGCAGCTCACCAATGTCCTCAATTCAGCCACTACAGTCAGTGTGCCAATGTCTGCTCGTCACTGTGCCCTGAGATAAGCCAGGCAGTTCAGTGCCCTGGAGACTGTGAGAAAGGTTGCCAGTGTAATTTTGGACACCTTTATGATGGCAATGCCTGTGTACCAGCAGAGCAGTGTGGATGCATACAGGACGGGAGGAGGTTTAAGGTAAGGTCATGATAAAACACTGTTCTGTGTCCAGGCCAGTTAGAAAATGTTCATTTAGCAAGTTTTGCACTTTTACTTACAACTTTTTTTTTCTGGTGGTAAGCTTGAAGTTTTACCTCTTCAGTAGCAATCCAATATTTTTAATTGGCTTCTTTCATGTCATTGTTTCTAATTCCAGGCTGCTGAGAGCAAACTGCTACATAACTGTGCTGTTAACTGCACCTGTGGGCCTCCTCTAGTATGTGAGCAGTACTCATGTCCTCCACTGCACAAATGTGTTGTTTCAAATGGAGTCATGGGTTGCCACAAAGATGGTGAGCATTTAAATACATTAATAATGAATTATTTGACATGTTGCTCATAGTAAAGTGAATGTATTTTCCTTTTACAGAACAAACCTCAGATCCATGTGAGGGAAAATGTGATGAAAAGGAGAAATGTTACCTGAACAATGGTGTTCCTGTTTGTGAGAGCCTTGGGGGTCTGTGTTGGACCTGGGGAGGCCAGAACTACCATACCTTTGATCGCCTAGACTACAACTTTCAGGGTACTTGCACATATCTGCTTGCAGCCAGCAAAGGGGGAGCGAGTGGGCAGACACCCTTTCGTGTGTCCAAGAAGAATCTCTGCAACAGCAGTAGTGCTGCACCTTCTACAGAGGTGGTCACTGTACAAGCTTATGGGTTCAACATCAAGCTTGGTGGCAAAAATGGAAGCGTAAATGTAAGTGAAGGCTGGTGTCTGAATGACCAAGTTGCTCAGTATTGGTCTTATCGCTTACAATTGTCCTTATTCATTTTTTTTTTTTTCTCAGGTAAATGGCCAAGTGAAATATGTTCCTGTTAACCTGCTGCAGGGTAAGATCCAAGTCTCTCACAAAGGTACAGCTCAGCTGAAGACTGACTTTGGCTTGCATGTTGTCTTTGGTGGGAACTCCACTGTTGTGGTTACACTGAGCCCATGCTACAAGGGCCAAGTCTATGGTCTGTGTGGCAACTTTAACGGTGATCATCAAGATGACATGCCTGTAACCATGCCTGGTTCCCCTCCTTCTAACTCAAATGCTGAGTTTGCTCAGGCTTACCGGCTCTCCGATGGAGACGACACCTGTTCCACTGGCTGTAAGCGGGAACCTAGAGTCACCATCCCTGCAGATTCTGTTTCTGAAGTTGCTGCTAGTAACAGGAGACTGTGTGAAGTGCTTAAGGATAAGAGGGGTCCAAAGGCCTACTGTCATAGTCTGATTGCCCCTGATTCCTTCTATGAAAGCTGCTTAAGCATCCTCATGCAAAATGGAACGTTGCAAGCTGCTCTTGACCAGGCAATATCTTCATATTCCATCATTTGTGAAGCATCCAGTGATGGCTACTACAGTGACATAGTTGGTAAGTAGTTGTGTTGAAGGATTTTTTTGTTTTTTGTTTTTTTGTATGGGATCTCTAAATTAGAGAAACAATGTCATTTCAGATGTGCACTGTCCACCAAACAGTCATTATAAGACCTGTGGCACAGCCTGTCCTCCTTCCTGCGAGTATAATACCATCGCCTGTACAATGGCCTGTGTTATGGGCTGCTTCTGTGACCCTGGGTTTATCACGAGTCCGACTGGCTGCGTGCGTCCACATCAGTGTGGCTGTACTGAGTCCACAGGCAAATACCACAGCCTCAACTCAACTTACTGGACCCCAGACAACTGTGGTCAGCTCTGTACATGTGGACCAGCTACTGGAGAGGTCCACTGCCAACCAGCCCACTGCCCGAGAGGAATGGTCTGCAAGCAGCTACATCGCAAGAAAATGTGTCAGCCTGAGAAACCCATGAACTGCACAATGGTTACAGGGATGCATTTTACAAGCTTTGATGGACATCATTTTGATTACAGAGACAGTTGTTCATACTCTTTGGTTCAAACTAAGTCTAATGTGACAGAACTTACACCGTTCACCATCACTATCTCTGATGCCATTTGTCACAAAAGGCTTTTTAATAGCCTCAACTTAAGTCTCTCTGTCTATGATTTGGAGGTTGTGGTGGGAAAGCATGACCCAGGAAAGATTTTTGTAAGTACTGTTTAATCTCTTAACTTCAGTCTTACAAATCAACAACTATAAAAGCATTTTAATGTGTTCTGTTCTTTTCATTGGCAGGTTGATGGACTTCATGAGCCCTTGCCATACTCCCACCCCACAGGCCATGTTAATGCCTACCGCACACCTTCATCACTTGTCATTCACACCGATGTGGGCCTACAGGTGGTCGTCTACAACTCCGGCACTCTTATGGTTATTCTTTCCAGGAGCTATGCCTCATCCGTCTCTGGTCTTTGTGCAAATGCAAACTCTGACCCTAAAGATGACCTGATGATGCCTGATGAAGAGCAAGCCCAAAATATACTGGAGTTTGTCCACAGCTGGAGGTCTCGGGGAGCCGAGGCCTGCAGGGACGACTGTTTCTCCAGACTGAAGCATTGTCCTGCTGAGACGCTGAAGCTGTTTGAAGGCAGCGATTTCTGTGGGGTGTTGTTGAATGAGCTTGGGCCCTTTGCAGACTGTTCCTCAGTTTTAAATCCCAAGCATTACTTTCACAGTTGTGTAGTAGATGTCTGCTCTTATAGCGCACACTACTCTGCACTCTGCAGCTCCATTGCATCTTATGCAGCTGCCTGCCAAGCAGCTCGGCTACCAGTGAGGCATTGGAGAAGTGACACTTTCTGTCGTGAGTACATGGTTTAATCTGTGTTTTCATCTGTGACATTGTATTTAGCTTTAACTGCTCACAGCTGATTAGTGTCCAGCCTCAGACTTAAGACATTTGATGTGTGATACTTAAAATGTCTGTCCGTGTTCAGGACTGTTCCACTGTGAAATTGGCAATTACTTGAGAGCTCACGTGTTTACTGAGGCTTTAATGAACATTTTATACTAGGCAGTAATCATGCAAACTTTGTGTAAGGGGAAAATCCCGACAAATGGACCATAGTCCATAATTTTAACAAGGATGGGAAGGTCCCTTGCTAGTTTAGTTGGAAGGGGCAATTGAACAAAGTACAGGGCGCTGCAGTGTCACTGGTTAGATTTTAAACCCTTTCCCTAGATGGGTGCTCAATGTCTCCTTCATGTAGCCTGCCATGCAGAGAAAGAAAGCACCTACCTGAAACATGGCAACACACCGTAAATGAAAAGAGGCTTAGAAGAGGAGAGAAGTACTGTGCAGTTGTTCAAATGTGTGTTTTTTTTATAAATGTATCAAATTAACAAACATTACAACCTCCTTAAATGGCCACAGCTACAAAAATGAATCAGGTTGCCCAAGTTTTTTTTTTTTTTCATTATTTAAAAAATGTTGAGTATAAGATGATTAACTCGATATTTTAACCATGAAGGTCAATATGTTGAATGGGTTTTGGATGAAAATATTCCTATTGAAGCTTGAGTATGAATTGAATGCTTAATATTTTAGATCCTCAAAAAAAAGTCTTGTTATTCAGTGAAATTGTTGACTTATTTACTTGCTCTCCCTCTAGGTATGTCATGCCCCAAAAACAGCCACTATGAGCTGTGTGGACCTCGATGCCCTGATGGGTGCCATGGACTGTCCTCTCCAGCAAACTGTAGCGGAGGTTGTGAGGAAGGATGCCAGTGTGACCACGGCTACGTCTTGAGTGATGGTCAGTGTGTGCTGGTTTCTGACTGCGAATGCATGCATGAGGGACACCATCACCCCGCTGGTTCCTTCGTGGAAAACTGCCAAAAGTGTAACTGTGAAAGAGGACTGCTCACCTGCGTTGCCATCGAGGACTGTTTTGTAGAGAAGGGCCCTGCCTTGCAGTATGGTGTGTGCCAAGTGTTTGCTGGTTTTGGCTACATTACATTCGATGGTGTTATTCTGCCTCACCATGGAGCTTGCACATATCTATTGTCAGCTGTCTCCTCTAAGGCTACTCCAGACTACACTCTTCTAATAAGCTTCAAAAATGAAAGCAGTGGAAACTTCACAATCAGCAAACTAGTATTTGATATGCTTTCTCTTGAGGTGTCTATTGACCCTGAAACTCTATGGAAAATACAGGTAAGTGCTGCATGTTGTACACATTTAAGTGTTGGAGAAAAGTTAGATCAGATCTTTTCAGCTTTAACTTTTACTGTTTAGGTTAATAAAGAAGAGCGCAGCGTCCCTTTTGACAATGGTGAACTTCAAACATACCAAGATGGCAACAGACTGATTATCAAAACGCGATCCGGGTTGGAAATGTCCTTGTCCTCTACGCAATACCTCAGGTTAACTGTACCCCAGGTATATGATGGCACAGCTTCAGGCCTCTGTGGGAACTTCAATGGGGACGAGTATGATGACATGGAACTGAGAAATGGTCGTCTCACCAGCAGCTTTGCGGCGCTCTTGCACAGTTGGGCAGAGTTGGCTCCTGAAGGACACTGCACCGACACCTGTGGGAGAGAGTGTAATGAGTGCAGCCCGTCCCCACATGACAGCAATGTCTGCGATGTCCTGTTGATCATTGGTGTTGAATTCAGCCAATGCTTGAACAGCAGTGTTGACTGGGAGATTTACACGCAAATGTGCATAAGGGCAGTTTGTGCTGGGGCAGGAGACAGGGCCTTATGTCTCACACTGGAAGCACTTTTTTCAGCCTGTCAAGCTGAAGGAATACCAGTAGGACCATGGAGAGAGAATACTCCATGTAGTAAGTGAATCATTTTAATCACAGCTTTAATCAGGACTATGAGATGCAATCTGAAGTACATTTTTTTTTTCTGCCCACAGCTCTTGACTGTCCTGACCGCAGTAGCCCAAGTGTCTGTGTTGAGGCCAGTTCCAGTTCATGCCCTGCTTTGCTCCAGCCTGGTTTTCCAGCAACCAGCTGTTCAGAAGGCTGCCAGTGCCATCACCATAATGTGTTTGATGGGGGAAAGTGTGTGCCTTACAGTCAGTGTGGGTGTCTTCTTGGTGATAGATATATAGAGGTAAATATTAAACCTTACCACTGACAAAGAAACAGTTCCCTTGAGAACAAACCTGGCATTTATTATCTACAGTGAGGGGGGTCTTCTAGATCCTTTACTTAAAATATTTTACATACCTTTTTTTAAGTTATTGCAGGATCTCGAAAGTGCACTTTATTATTTAATATTACTTTTGCATTCATGTTATAGATTGCATTTACTTCTGAAGTTTCTTTAACTTACCTTAAAAATATTTGAGTGCATCTATTGTGTTTGGTTGTACTATGAATTCATGTGCTAATTATCCACATCAATTGATCATACGCTTAAGTGACGCTATGCTCATAAATCAGAAGTCCAGGGTTAAGATTTTGTGTTTATCAAGTTTCTTATGTCAAACAGTTGCTCCAAGCATCAAGTCATAATTTATGAAGATGGTTAAAATAAGTTTTAGTAGACAGGAAAGGATTTAAGGTTTTTCTTGAATATGCTGTTGGGTGGTTTATTTTTTTACAAACTATAATTTTGTAGTGTTTGTGAAATCTAAAATTGTGAAATAACTTAAGCTGTCAGATTAATGTAATAGAGTAAAATACTTACCCTCATAAATGAAGTGAGGTACAAAAAGAGGAGAGACTCAAGCACATGTGTTTTTTTTTATTGCAGCACTTAATGTCTGTCAAAGCTCACAGATGGTTTTCAAAGCGACTTTCTAATCTTCTCTCTCTCCACCCCTCAGGCTGATGAGCTCCTCTACACAGAGGACTGCACCCAGATATGTAGGTGTCACCCTCTCAGTGGGGTGCTTTGTAAGGATGCAGGCTGTGATTCAGAGCAGCAATGTACTCTGAGGAATGGCTCTTGGAGCTGTCGGGATAGACCTGAAGTTTGTGAGCTCAGGAACAGCCTCCAGGTGTCCACCCTCAGTAGTCAGCAGCTAATCCTGGAGCCCAGCGTAGCTTACAGTCTGATGTCTCTGTGCAATGAAGCCAGTGCGCAGTGGTTCAGTGTGATGTCCTACTATGGACCTTGTAATGGCAGCTCCAGATCAGTCAGTGTGTTTCAAATCCTCCTGCACGGATCATCAATCACCATTCAGGATGGTACAGTAAAGGTATAACTCTGTTAAAGGTTTTGATGGTAACAAACTAAAAGTCATTTTGAAACCTTGTATGTTTGTGTGAATTTACCATCCTGCTGTCGTGCCCCACAGGTGAATGGACAGTTGGTGTCCCTCCCTCACATTTTGCCATTCGGGTTCTCTCTGAAATCAGGAATGAGCCAGGACAAGTCAGAGGTCACTGTGATTCTGAGCAGAGATGCTAGGATGGAGAAAGAGCTGGACGTTGAGATTGGTGTTACCATGGTGACAATAAAGGCTCCTCTTTGGTGCTCAGAAAAATTGTGTGGTCTATGTGGAAACTTGAACGACCTCCACGCTCTCAGTTCGGTCAGGTCATGGGCCCTCTCTGACTTTCCAGGCTGGTGAGTAATGTTCTCCGCAACAACAGAACTGTGTCTGTCTGTTAAACATTTTATAATGAGTGTTTTCTCTCCTCACAGTGGCTTCACCGGTTGATTGCTGTCTGTTTTGATTTTTCTGTTGATATGTATTGTTTTAAATACAAAACAATTTAAACAACTCTGTAGTGGCTTCATTGAAACTCTGGCTATCTTGACTTTATTGTACATTTATACATTACACTGGATGCTCTTATCAGTGAGCCCATATACCTTTTGTAATCAGGTCCTCTCCTGCCACTGTTGTTTAGGTTTAAACTAATAAAATAATGAGGGCAAATGTTATCTTAATCCACCATGTGTACAGGAACTAACAGGAGTAGTATTGCTATGCCCAGAGGGTTCTGACCAGATGAATCTCAATTAAACATTTGAGGGTTATTAAAGCCTTGTTTAATTAAAATCTAATGTAAACTTTTTAGGGCTGGATCATATTGACTTAATACAATTTTTGATGCAACCTCTGCTAGATTCTTGGGTGTCATCCAAAACCAGCCGTTTCTTTTACAGCCCTAATACAGCAATTGAAAAGATTAGGTTGTAAGGGATCGTTTGGTTTCATGCCATGTTCCAAACATTTTGCAAGAACGGATGTTGGACATATCATTTGTTTACAAGCATAAGCTGGCATAAAGGACAAAAGATAAACCTGGGTGTATCATGTTTGTTTAGCAGGGCTTATATATGCTTGACATTTGTTTTTGATAACTAAAAATGTAGATGACAAACACAAAAAAGAAGAGTATTTTGCCAGCAAAGACCAAAAAAATAGGGAAATAAATTGATATACTTTCAAATGTTTCAATGCCAGTAATTTTTTTTTTTAACACTTTTTAATGACAGTCATCAGAGGTGAATCATTTCTACTGTACATATCTGAAAAAATGAACTGCCCTTGCTAGAAAAAAGGCATAGTCTATGAAGATGATACAGAGTATTCTGCATCTTAAGACATCCCCATCTCTACCACTATCATTAAATTAATCTGAAGTGTCTGTCTCTTTAATATCTTAGAAGATATGTTGAGACTTCGCTCACCACATTTCTGTTTTTCCTGAGAGGTATTCCATAAAGTGTTAAGCCTTCAATGAGTCTCGCTCATTTCAGTGAGAATCACAGTGACTTATGAGTCTCAGCTCAGTTACCATGGTAACTTAGTCATCAGAGCTAGCCTGCTCCGGGGCAGGATAAATGTCCAGCCTAGTCTAGCTGTGTATCAAAGAATGACTAAAAAAGCTAATCAAAAGAAGGTTCTGCCATGTGTACTGGGGTGTTGCTGACATATTAAATTACGCTACATTCAAATAATGTTTTTATAACCGCATGATTGAGTATTAAACTTAAATTCTGCCTTTTGATACACAATGCTACCATGTGTTAATGCACGGTTTGACTTTAGTTAACTTAAGACAAAACTATTTTAATTAAAAAATAAACATGTCACTACATCATGAATAAGAATCACTGTTGTATTTATTTCAGTAGCACAAGTCATGCATGAGAGAAAGTTCAATTTAAAAAAAAAAAAAAAAACATTTAGAAAGCAGTGGGTTAAAGCTTAAAATGAGTTACATGATCTGGTGGGATATTAAACAAAAAAATAAGATTTTACTTGTATCTAGATAAGTAAATATCATTATGTAAGGAAACATCCTATGTAATCCAAGAGGCATGGAGGTGTAACGCTTTGAATAACATCGAATTATACTTTCACTGTAAACTGATTAATTTAAGAGAAGGACAACATACGGAGTCATTTCCTAAACATGTATTTAATTTGATGGGGGAATCAAATTCTTACTCGTATTAAAGCTGAAAAGCTCCCTGACTGTCAAAATTTAATATGAAAGCTCTGATTTCTTGAAAGCCGAATTGCAGACATAACTTTTAACCAACTAATTTCTGATTTGACATTTCGAACAACAAGAATATTCTCTATTAAATGTAACTACTTTACAAGAAGTGGGCTGACCATGATATTTTTGGGCTAAACTTGAGTGGAATTGACTTAGCAATGAAGAGTTTCATTCTAAATTTCAGAGAGTCAAACAAAGAATACTTAATTGTTTTAAATATGGATTTATTTTTATTTGAAAAATAGATGTGACAGAGAATAGAGTATCAAATAGATACATATGTAACTACTTACAAACTGTTAATCTGTCCTCAGGTAGATTTTCTTAAAGGATTCACTTTATAGGGAAATTAAGTGGTATAAAGTATAGTTGGTTAGTGATACATTTTGGTTTGGAAATAAAGTACACGTGAAAATAGAGGTGAACCTTCAAGCCATTAAAAATTTCTGCCTTCATTTGTTTAGGAGGAACTTGTTTTTTTTCAGTTGTTCCAAATGGAAGTGTAACAAACACACTCATTTATCCTGCACTTAGTAGTAAAGCCCTGTCATCCTGAAATGCTTTATGTTGGCTAGTAACAAATATGCATCCATATTATTGCAATGATACAAGATAAATACTTAAAAATGAAAATGTCACTAAAAAAAACTATCTGTGCCTTTAAGCAATTGGGACTCTTGTTTAAATAATTTGGGTGATTTGCTCAGCTTAAGCGTATTCGTTGTTTTTATCTCTGAAACACAACACACTTTAATTCTACTATTTAAAGTACAATCTATTCTTTGTGGCATACTGTAAGTTAAGTGTTAAACAGAGTGTGTTAAGCTGAACAAAATCAGGAGTAGTAGTGAGGGAAATCTTTATATTTAGATCAGTATTTTTATAACTCTTCTTTGAAATCCTGCTGACCTTGTACAAATTATGCATCTTACTAAATGTGACCTAGCTCTATTAGTCAATCACTGCCGTATTCTTACAAATCTTGGCTCAGATTTCCCCAGCAGGACATGCAGCCAAGCGAACGCTCAATTTGAAGCAATTCCCTTCTGTGTCAACCCCATCAGTTGAGAGAATTGTTGTGCGGTCAAACCTTTCTGCTTGTGTGAATGATGCAGAATGTTAAACGGGAAAAGAATTTGAGTGTGCAGCAAATAAAGGATAGCCATCTAAATTGAAATTTTCTTTTGTTGGGAATACCATTTACCTTCAGCTGCTATTGAGTTGGACCCATTAAACTGAATTGGTGAAACAGGAGAGTAATCTAAATCCTGCAGGCCCTGACTGAGCCCGGAAAATGTTCTTTTCACAGCAAAGGCGCAGATATTGATAATATTTCCATTATGCAATTATATTGTCTGTGCAAGTGACTTATTGAGTGCTGCTGAGAAGCAGTCAAGTGACTATTTCTCAGTCTAAATCCCTCACAATGGTTATCAAAGGGGAAAAAAGCAATCCATCCATTAAAGGCTAGCATTCATCCCTGCTTTTTAAATTCAAAATAAAGGTGTTTGCAGGCAATTTATCTGTGGCGTCATATTCTTTCTTTGAACTGTTTCAGTCAAGGCCTAGTTTTTTTTCACAGTTTGATTCCTTTGATTGCCTTGGCACAAATAGTCTAATCTGTTTTCAACAGTTTTTGACATTTTCTTTTCATACATTTGATTTGTAAAGCACAGTTTTGTACCTGTCTCCTTCACTTTAAGTAACTTTAAAAGAAGATCCTTTTGATATGCTCTTGTCTTTTTAAATTCAAGCCCTTCCACCGTCTAGCAGGTTCACCTGGTACTAGTTAAGGCGGCAACTTACTATTTTGATTGTCAACTTGTCAATGATTATTGAAGTGATTGATTAATTATTGGATACTATTTTGAACAATTAGTTATTTTCTTTAGCTTTCAGTGTTTAATTTAACATAACTCTTTAAAAATCTAAATATGCCATTAAAAATCTTATTTCAAGCCATATTTTTTGTCTTGGCTTCAAACATTATTTTTCTTACTGAGAGACGGGTTCTTTTGATTTAAAGTGTAGTCAAGTTACAACAGTTTATTGTAAGAGTTTGCTCCACTGTAGAGGTAGGAGTGGAGGAAGAAAAAGAGATGAGAAGGGGTAAAACAAAAATTAAATGTAATGTTTTAAGGTAGGAGACTACAATGTTAATGAGAAATAATCACAGTATGACTCTAACTTTGAACTGTAGTATTTCACGTGAGATGTCAGCATACATAAAGTGGTCTGGCAACATTTCTTAAAAATCCTGGGGAAAATTGCCAAATATTTTCAATGATGGATTCTGAAATTTTCAGGAATTCATCTGAAAATGTATTGTTTCAAAAATGTTCTGGGAACATTTCCCCAAAATTCAGGGAATTTCCTTAAAATTCCTGTGAAAATTCTGACAGAAGAAATAGTTGGGAGAATTCCCTAGAAATACAAAAAAAAAACATAGGAAAATTTAAGTTTCAGAATTTCCCAAAAAATTCGATTGCTGCCACAATTCCCAAAAGTTCCTGGGAAGAGTCCTAGAAAGAAAATGTTAAATTATTGGGAACATTTCCAAGGAAAACTCCTGGACAAGTTTTCAAGAATTCCCAAGAAAATTTTGAAAATAATTCCAATTATAGTTTTCAGAATATTCATGACAATTCTGGTAAAATTCCCCAAAATCCAAGGGGAAATTCCTAAAAGTTTGCAACAACAGTTTTTAGACAGTTCCCAAAACATTCATGTGAAATTGACCCAAATGTCTGGGAAGATTCCCTAGAATATTCCCCCAAATATCCTGTTGAAATGAGAGAAAATTCCCAAAACATATTCAGGAAGCAAAAGTGATTCATCAAAAATAATTTGAAAGTTCTCTGTAAAATGTCAGGTAAAATACTTTCAGGATCATTTCTGAAATTCCAGACAAAGAATTTGAAAATTCCCCTAAATTTTGCCCATTGAAAAACCATGAAAAACCTGAAAACATATTTGAAAAGTATGCTGGACAATTCCCTACTAGAATTAGATAATTCTCAGAAAACTCCTGGGAGAATTCACCTAAAGTTCCCAGACTTTTTTGGAAATTTGCGGGAAACCTTAAGAAACATTTCAAGTTTCAGGGAAATTGTTTTAATTCAAATAGTTTTTGGAAAAATCCCATGGAAATTCCTCAAACTTTCTGAACTAAAATGTAACAATTTCACAGATTTCAAGATTGCATTTTTTGGGAATACTAGACAAAGAAAACTCCTGGGAAATGTCCCACTTATTATTATTTTTTAATCTCTCTTGTGAAAGGTTGGAAAATTTCAGCAAAAATGTTGCAGAAGAAGATTCCCATATACTATTTCTGGAAAATTCCCCAAACTAACAGGAAAATAATATTTTCCAGAACATTTCCTAAAATTCACAAAAAACTCCCAGAATTCCACAATTCCAAACTTCTAGGATAAATTCCTAATAATTCCATGGAAAATTCTCAAAAATATCCAACAGAAGTTTCCACAGAATCAGAAAATTCCAAATGAAAGCTTCAAAACGTTTCTAGAAAAACTACCAAAGTATTGGACAAAGGTTCCCAATAATATTTTGGGGAAATTCCAGAGACAGCTGATTCTGAGTTGGAGAAATAAATGTTTGCCTTAAGCATTGTCATCAATGAGACCCACATACCCTGGTTATGCAGCTGGTCGACACAACCTTCAACCACAAAGTCTCTTAACTTCAAAAGCACTGAGTTTGTTAGTCCTTCAAGCAATTACATGGAAGCAGTTTGTGTCCTCTGTGGCAACCCAGACAGCAAACCCCAGGTAACCTGATTCGAAAGAATGGTGGCGAACCAGTGTCAGATTGTGATGCCAGCTGGCAAGTGGTTTAGATCCCAGGCTGGTTTTAAGGCAGTAAAGGGTGTGTCTTGATTGTGACAATGCTGAGAAGGTTGAAAATGAGAAAGTAGATAACTGCAGTATATTTAAAAACCTAAGACTGCCGTTCTGATTGCCTTAGCAAGCTGGCCTTTTTAAATTTGTGTTGTTAATCATGTTTACCTGTATAGGGTTAGAGTAGATTTGCTGTGTCAAACTATTGCGTCATACACTACTGCCTTCCAGGCTATTTGGAGCAAGTTGTACAGGTGGAGAAGAAGTCAATTCTGTGGTAAGAACTGCATTTATTTTAATTAAATCTTTAATAAAAAAAAGTGGCAATTATTTACAATAAGTAACTGTTCTGTCTGGTAAGCCTCTGTTTCAATGTGTGTTTCTTTTTTAATTTCTGGGATTACATTGCCTGCATTTAAAGTCTGTGAAATAAAAGGGTCTTGAGTTAATAAGAAAGACATCCTCTTTTATGTCTATTGTGTACTTTTTCTGATCTGCCTGTTGGCAAGGGAATGT